CTAAGTAAACTACCTTCCTTTGAACTTCACGTCCCTTACAAACGTGGACGAATAACTCCAACAAGTCACTGAGTTTTCATCTACTTATAGTAGAAACTGCTGGGCCGTCTTATTGGGCCATTGAAAACTCGTTCTTTAATAGGGTAACTTGGGCTTGGCCTTCATAATAGGCCCAAATATGATATTAAATCCTTTAATTATGTAACAAACAGGTATCTTCATACATGTAAATAACCATTTTATAAAATAAAAATAATTATGTTACATTTATCTTAAAATAACTTAAAATTTTAATCAAGATATTCTCACCTAATTTTTTGACTTATAATGAGCAAAATGATTGATCGCTAGACCACTTTAAAATTTTCTATCTTCTATGAGTTTTTTTTTTCTTGATTCCCTTTCAATTTCCCAACTAACTGTTTGGACCTTTGTAGCTCAAGCCACAATAGTTTCTGACTATTTAGTATTATTCCTGTGCCATTGTACAGAAATTAGTAGAATTGAATAAACACTTTATATTTCTCTAAGAAAGTTGACTATAAAATAGGAAAAATTATTCTGTGCGGAGTTTGGACATGATGAACTGTACGAATTTGTTGCGTATTTGTAAATACTCAGTTGAGAGTATTGCTGAATATTTATTCAGTATTTGCTGAGTGTTTATTGAGTATTTGTTGATTTATTGTGTATTTGTTAAGTATTTTTTGAGTATTTATAAATACTGAGCAAATATTCAATAAATACGTAGAATTCCGAATGATTCTTCCTGTCTAGACTTCGCACAGAATAATTTCCCATAAAATAGAGGAAACCCATTCTTTTCTAGTTCTTTAAGAAATATATTGTCGATGTGATATTTTCTTTGTATTTTAGGTCTTTTTTTTACTTATAATGAGCTAAATGATTGATCAATTAGAACACTTTAAAATTTTCTATTTTCTATGAGTTTTTTTTTTCTTGATTCCCTTTCAATTTCCCAACTACCTGTTTGGACCTTTGTAGCTCAAGCCACAATAGTCTCTTGCTATTTTGTATTATTACTTACTATTGTACAGAAATTAGTAGCATTGGATGAACACTTTACATTTATGTAAGAAAGTTGACTATAAAACAGAGGAAACCTATTCTTTTCTAGTTCTTTAAGAAATATATTGTCGATATGATATTTTTTTTTGTATTTTGGGTCTTTATATTGGTGCAAGGAGATCTAACAAAAAGAGTAAAAGTTAATAATTTTTTAGGAATGTTGAGTGACGAAGCGAAAAATATTTTGATTGAATACGATTCAGAATCTTGATAATAACTTTTGAAATTTCTAACAACAAAACTAGCTAATTGTTGTAAATAATAATAAAGTTTTTCTATTTCTGATGATCATGATCTAAAATGCTAATATTTTTATGTAGAAACATTCATCTCTTCATGAGCAATCATAATATACCACTATAGTTGATGAAATAGAGATCTATAGAGGTCATTGAGACTCTTAAGAAGTTGATATATAACTCAAGAAACTATATAAAAGTCGACGTATTTCGACCTTGATAGGACAGTCCATTGATGAGGCAATAATCAACCAATGAGTTGACATGATAGCGATCTTGGCCCCCTCTTTATGCGTGACACACTTCCTAACATATTTAAGTGATGACAGAGGAGGAGTTAGGCCTAGTTCAATTTAGCTTATTAAGCCCTCAAAGAAAATGAATTACATTTTCCAATAATACTTTATTGATTAGTCAATTACTTAATATATATTTATTAAGATAGATATCCTAAAATTTTAAAAAAGAAAAGACAAAGTGGACTACATGTATAGCTCTATGTGTGGATTAGTCAAGTACATAACTTATATCCTCATTATATTCTAAGTATATAATTATATTTTGTACTAATTACATAATTATATTCACTTTATACTCTAATCAGAATAACCACACAATAATACTAATACACAATTTTGTACTCAAATAAAATGAAATACATAATTAAGTAATAACTTATCCTTAAATGAAGCTCCTTGAGGGAATGGGAGTTTGACAAAAAAAATTTCTAAATATATATTAGGAACAAACGAAAACCTTCTATTGATAATTATAAATCCTTTTTTTGGTTCAAATTTGCTGACATTTTGGTTTTGAATCAAGATAAATTGGAATTTGCATTAGACATGCTTTGTCTTATTTATTTATTTACACATGCGGAATTGATAATCTGATTCTCAACATTAAGAGCTGCGTACAAGGAGAAAATCTTAAGAACATGCTCACTTTTTTTTCGTTAACAATATGATTAATAAAATGTATTTAGTGTATAATAATATTTAAGCTATGTTATATACTTTTTTTTTTAGTGGACCAATTAAATTTAAATCCATCATTAAAATTGATGGTAATGTAAAATAAAACAAAAGAGATAAGAGAGAAAAAAATACTTGATTTAAGTCATCAAATTTTAACATAATCAAACTTCAATAAGGCCAATATCTATGATGCACGGACACGGACACAGGACACGGTTTTTTTTTGAAAATATAGGACACGGGCACGGCGCAGACACGGCAATACATTTTTTTATATAGTGTATATATATTAATGAAATATCATATTAAAAATGACAAACAATAATAAATGAATGACATGAAACTTTTCTAGCTTATAATATAAAATATTTAGTACAAGATGTCTAGTATAGCTACAAAAATATAAGCAAATAATCACTTACTACAACATCAAGCATTCAAGCTTCAACTACTAGGATTAGCTTTAGAGGTTTATTTTTGGCATTTAATATCATCATCATTGAATATCACTGCTTTCAACTCTGGTTCAACAAGAAAAAAGATTTGTAATTGTGCAAAAAGATAGAAGATGAAAATACCTTCACTGCCAAAGAGAAATAAAAATGAGAATATTCGATGAAAGGTATTAAATGCAGACGTTGATTTGGTGTTGTGGATGTAAAATAAGAAATTTAGTTTAAATCTCACCAAAATAAGAAATTATATTTAAAAAAAAATTATAAAATATTTAAGATGCGTGTGTCGTCGGACACGCGTGTCCAATTTGTTTTTAATATTTTTTTAATCGGACACGTTTTCGGCGTGTCAGACACGTGTCAGAGGAGTGTCGGACGAGTGTCGTGTCGGACATGATGTCGAACACTGCACGCCTCTTTGAGAAGAAGTATCGGTGCATCATAGGCCAATATCCATAGGAGAAGAAAGACATGCTCCATCAAACAAATCTCAAAATGGTGTAATAAAGACAGAACACTCATCAATCTTCTAAAATCTCAAGTATAAATTAAAAATACTCAAAAGAAGAAGAAACCAATGAATAATCACATAAGATTATCTCACACATAAATCTTTTCTTCTCACATGCACTATGCACAATTGGAACTACTAATCCTCTTAATCCTTGCCTCTAAAAAGGTATTTAATAAATAAGAGAAAGTTAAAAAGAGCTCAACTTTTTTCTTATCTCATCTCCTAATTGAAGATATCATATTATATTTGCCCAATATCTCCCTCCCCCTCTCTCTCTCTCTCTCTCTCTCTCTCTCTCTCTATTAGGCCTTAATAAATCATGTAAAGTTTGAAAAGAGAAAGACTAGGTCTAGAATGTTTAAATTCTAGGATTTTTTTTTCTTAACATGACTTCTAATATTTTTATGTATATTATCTATTAATACTTTTAAACAATTAGGATCAAGAGTTGATAAGATGAATTAGCGCTAATTCAAAAATAGTTTTTAGCTCAATAAATTTGACAGATGAATAATTTAGCATGTCAAATTTAAGCCAACTCAATTAAATCTTTATTTTTCTCCTCCATTTGCATCTTTTATGGGAATAAAGGAATTTCAAGGAGAAACAAAGTGTATGAAAAGTAAAACACTAACAAAGATGATTAGCTTACCAAAGTTTTGGTAGGAACTTCACTCCTCCATCTACTTCATAGTCCTAAACATATAAGAGATTAAATGCATATTGTTAAACCATAAGAGAATTTTATGCACATTACAATAATTAAATCTTTTTTTGGACAACTTTCTTGCTGCTTCTTAAAGTAGCATTTCAGTACAAAAATTACTAGAAAACCGCTTTAAAAAGCAGTAACAAAACCGTCCCAAACGAAACTTAAGTGTTATGACAATTATGAAGCATTGAAATTATTCATTATAAAAGCATTGTCTCTCTCATTAAAGATGACTAATAAAAAGTGCAAACTTTCATACAAAAAAAGTCAAAATAAAAATATTAATAAAAAAAAAAGCCTATCTGAATTGAATTTCAAAAGGTCAGCTAAATGGACATTATTTGGCTAAGTCCATTCAAAGAGGTATATGGCTGAGGGAATCCCAAATTCAAAATTGGAGTTTATGGGAAATATGTATTTTAATTTAATTGATAGATGCATAATTATTAATTATTAATCTTATGTTAATTACATTAAAAAAATTATTTTTAAAATAAATATTATTGATATTAATTTATTCATAATTATTATATTTAGTTAAATTATTTAATTACTTTATATTATTATCACAATATCTTTTACCAAAGATTTTTTGTCTATCACAATACTTTAAGAAAAACAAAAAAATATTTATATTCTTAAGTTTATGTTAATATATTATAATAATTCATATCATTATTGTTTTTTTGAAAAATTTTACACTGATTGTTGGTTAAATAAAACAATCCTCTACTTAGAAATATAATGTGAACTTAATATGCAAAATTTAATATTATAAATAATATCCAAAATTATATTAATTTTAATATAAATTAAAAATTTTAAACTTTATCATAATATATTTTGTATAATCTCTCAATAAATTTTTTTCTTTAATGCACGGAGGTAATTAATTAATATTTCAGCTAGGCTGCATTAAACATTCATTTATTTTTATAATAAATTCTTTATTTTCCAATTATATCTGTCATTTATTACAAATGTGGCTCTCTTCCGTCTACCTTGAATTATCTTGATGGCTTCTTCTAAAAGATTCAGAGCCTCATTTTATCCGAGAGAGAGAGAGGGCACGTAGACATTGAAATCTTCTGTGTTTGTCCTGGCAAGGCCTTCAAATGCGGAGGTTTTATGGTTGCTGGCCTCCTCTCTGTTCTCTGCTTCTCTCTCTCTCTCTCTTTCTTCTTTCTCCAAGCAAAACCTGAAAAGTTCTCTTTTTTTTTCTTCCTTTCCTTTGAAGCTTGAATCTAAGCTGTGACGCCAATGACTTGAAACATTTGTGAAACTGGGAATGGGAAGGAATGGAGTTGCTTGAGGGAAAGGTTTACGGTGAATCTCTCCCTAAAGGTATGCTATCTATTTATGAATCCTCTTTTTCTTTCAACATATTCAGCTTCCAAACTTCAAAATGAAGAGTATTTGCTTTATTTCATTGACATTTGGTGTCTAATTCATTCAATGCTTTGTAATGTTAGCTCCTAATCTTCCAGTTTTCATCCTTTGAGGATTTGGTGTGAGGTGAGGAGGATCTTCATCATTTTTGACAACCAAAATGAAGGGGATTTTCAAGGGTTTCAAGTTCATTTCTCAGATCTTTGGTAATTCTCTTAAAAATTAAAGGCATCGTAGCCTCTTTTTAACTTTTGTTTTATCTGATTAGCTTCTGTGGATACAAATCTTCATAAAGTTTTTTTTTTCCTTTGTGTTTTTACAGTTTTCAAAGAGCCTGAGATGGTAATTGGATACCCAACAGATGTGAAACATGTAGCGCACATTGGATATAGCAGCTCATCAAATATTCCAAGTTGGGTAAGCCCAGAAGATATAATGAATGAATTTCATATTTTTTTTTCCTTTTTTTGGCCTTTTCCTTTTTTTGACCTTTTCCTGTTTTAAATTGCTTCTTTTGATGAAATTTTGAGGTTTTTTCAGATGGCTGAATTTAATACAGCATCAGATTTTTCCTCTGGAGTTTTTGGGGAATCAAGGGGCCTTTCTTGGGCTTCTCATGGTATAATAGTCTTCTCCTTTTCTTTCATATGGATTTTGTTATGCAATTGTAAATGATAAAGATTTTGATAGCTGATGATTGTTTTCTATTTACCATCGGATCCTCATGTGTTTCTTAATTTCCTGAATTAGTTTTCTAAAACTGTTATAACAATCATTCCTCATTTCTTCTTTTATATTTGTAAATTCAAATTTAGAAATAGTTCATCTAAAATTCGGAAAGATATATCATATCAAACAATTTTCATTTGAGGTATGAACTTAGTTGGAGGTTGTGAAAGGTCGGCGTTGCTGAAAAAAAAAGCAGAACATTCTTACTAAGGCTTCATTTGGGATGGCTTTCTTACTGCTTCTTAAAGCAGCTTTCTAATGCAAACTTTTAAATTTTTGTACTAAGAAGCTGCTTTAAGAAGCATTAAGAAACCCGTCATAAACGAACTAAGTCATTCTTACAGCTAGATGACATTTGCATTTTCTGAGAGGACAGAAATGCCTTGCAGTCTTCTATATGTACCTATTTTGCCTTCTTAATTACACTCAAAATGTATCCTGATACAATATTTTTTCTCCAATGTATGTCTAGTTGTCATTGGAGTTGGGACTTACAAAGGTTAGCTTGAAAACATAAAATAAACTTTAGGCCCATTACTATTTGTCAGTTCCTTAATGTGCTACTTCAGTTGCCATTCAGTAAGAGCGACAAGTGGGAGTGGGGGACCTAATATTAGGCAGATCTGTTGTAATCTAATTATGATGAACAACTGTTGTACCAGACAGATCAAACCAACCCTGAAGCAGACATTACTACTATTTTCTTCCTTTTGAGGATAGCAAAAGAAAATTTATTGCACTCATGTGTAGCAGAGGACCCATTTTTATCCATGACTTTGTGTTCAGCTTTATCAATGGTCAACAAAATTTCAAAAAGTTTGGCCTTAAGTTATTATAAGTTAAAAAGAAAATTGTTATATTTGTTAGTATAGCGTAATGACTGTAATGATATATGATGATTGTGTTTCTTTAGGGTTGAGAATGATTGAGGCCGAACTACTTTGCCAAACACACGTTTATGATAGTTTCACTATCATAGACGAACAGCAAGTTATAAATGGGAACAGCCGTTTGAATTTATTTGCTGCAAATATCTTGCCATTTGAACCCTATAAACTGCCTCTTCAAATTCTTAAATTGCATAAGGTTGAACTGGTGTTTTAAAACATTAGTAATAGCCTTGATTTGTCAAATCTCTTTGTTGACCCCTATATTAAAATACACACAAAAGAGGGGCGGGAATTAAGTGACGCGCGTGTCGGTGCGGCGTGTCACTTGAAGGGCTAAACGGTCTCCGATTGCCGAACGGATTGCGTCGTTACGACCAAAGCATCGAATTCGCCTAAGAAAGAACCCTTCGCAGTCAAATTTGACAAGATCGGTCAAAACGGACGACTGACACCCAAAATTGATGTTCGACATTGCCCAAACGACATCCGATAGCAAAACGGACTTCTCCATTTCGTTTGGAGCACCGTCAATACTCATAAATGACCATAAACTCTTTCGATTGAAATTGTGCAAGGAGATCAACGCGGATTCTTAGGCAATGACGTGCAAATTGAGGAAATTGACGTCTTCTCCACCCAACAACAACCTCATCCACTCCAAACCGAGCTCCAAACAACAAACACCCTGTCTCCACTTCAAATATCCAGCACCCCAAACACCTCTCTTCTTCAACAACAAATCCATTTATAAAGCCCAATCCATTTCCTTATACTATTTCCGCCCATTCCAAACCTGCACTTCTAGCCAAATAGCCCACTCAATCTCCCACACAACTCAACACCACTTCATCACAATTAACTGAGTCCAAGCCCAGATCAGCCCACATCACTGTTTCTTTACACACCAAAACAACCCAAACAGTAAGTTTTCCTTTTTTATATTTTTATATTTTATTTATTTTATTTTACAATAATTATGATTAAAAAAAAGTGATAAGAAAAATAAGAGAAGATAAAAAAAGGGAAAAAAGAGAAAATAGGGAAAATTGTATGCATTCGCCATTTCGACCTCGTCGCTCAGGTATAATATTCTTAAAACTCAAAAAGTCTCAAAATCTCGCTTTCGGCGCTCGTGGCGTGCCAGGGGACCACACATACACTCTTTTCTTTAGTGTGGTGGGAGGGACCTCGATGCGGTGCTTGCGGCGAGTTAGGTAAGACATGTTTGCGCTTTTCTCTAGCATGACGGGGACAATCATAAGCACCCGTATACGTGCCTTAGAGCCGGCGGGGAAATAATTTTGCATTTTAAACAGGTACCCCCGACAACCCATGCACGCCTCTCTATGGCGTGATGGGATTGAAGACTATAGTCACGATGTCACCCGATACCTACCGTACACGCTTTTTTCTAGTGTAGTGGGAAGGCTTAGCTCCTAAAATTTCTCCTAAACAAGAGAGACACCGGGAGGCTACAAAAATTCAGACAGAAACACACAGAACTTGAATAATGAATAGAGGACCTAGACTTATACAAGATGATTGGGACTTGACTTGTTGGACCACAGGAAACCAAAGTAAAAGGAACAAAATTTTGTGATACCTGTAATTTATAAAATAAAAATTAATCATGCAAGAAAGAATAAAAGAAATGCAAGGATATGTGTACAATCCATAGAAATTTTTTTTAATGAAATATCATGAAGAATTGTCAAATTGACTGAAATGCAAACATCGACAAAGCAAACTCGCTATGCAAGCCATGAGCTACCTTCAAGGGTAGTGAAAGACTTGTGATATTCAACATGATTCTTGCACAAGCAATGACTAACAAAATTTGACCTTCAATAGATATTTCAATTCATTTATAATGGTTGCATGAGTTAGAATGTAAACGGAAGGAAACCTTGATGACAATTTTACCATGCTTATTACAAGCTAACCTACAAACGCAATCAAAGAGATTGTGAAGAATACAATAACATGTTCATGAGCGCAGCATGAGAGTTATGCAATGGATGGTGTAATCTCCCAATAGTCAACATCAACCTGCATATGAACACGTCGACTCATCTGTAAATGTACACATCAACGTGCAATGAACACAGTTCACCTTTACTGTTAACCACAAGCATGAAAAGGAAGATGGCAGAGATTACTAATCACTGCCTGTGCCCAGAAGTAACGAACTTGTGGTAAATGCAAACATCTACATGCCACTACAGGAAATATGTTGTGTGCGTAGTAGTCCGCATAAAACGGCTAGTGACTTCTAGATATCTACTAACGACTTGCAAGTAGATTTAATAAAACTTGCAGTGCACAATGGCTCATTCGCAAGAAGCAACGGGGAACCCGCTGCACAATGCTACAATTCACTTATAAGCATAAACAGGGAATTCATGATAAACACTACGGGCCAATGGTAAACCAAGGCATCAAATTTGCAAAACCAGGCTTTTACGCTAGATAAATTAGCTCGCTTGCAAAAAATAGGTGGAAAACTCTTGATGGGACGTACAACTTGTTTAAATGTTGAAGTATACTCCCGTAAGCTTAATGCTGAAGAAAAATATAACATGCAAAAGGAAAAAATGAGCAAAACAACATTGCCGATGTGCAATAAATGAACCTCAATATTTTGTGAAATTACGCCATCGTATCTGCAACATTTGTATAAGCGGACATAAGGTGTTTTCATGTTCCAAATGAGACTCTGTATGCTTGTCAATGATGGTCATTTGCAGAGCTGATAATTACAAAAATACCCCTACACATTGAAATGCGCAATGATGCATTTACATTATACGTATACGTGTTGTAATATACAAAATGTATCATGCAAAATAAATGCACGTGCACGAGCCCCACAATCATATTGTATGTACACATGTGACGTCTAAGGATACTGTGTGGGTCAAGAAATAAACTTAAGTTCGAGCCCAATCATTCTACATGAATAGATAGGAGTCGACACGTCTCGAACCATTAAGTAAATATACAGTCGTAGCACCGACCGAAATATTTGTTTTATAGATTCATATTAAGACTTCAAGGTTTATAACAAGAAAGATTCACTAATAAAGGCATAAAACCGATGATAACCTAAGAAGATTTCTATCAAGTTGGGTCGACTACCTCCTCTCACTAAGTAGACTAGGGTTCATGATGACCCAGGTCGATGGAATCATGGGATCTTGATCAGGTTCACTATCACTTACCCCACCATCCGCTTTAAGTGCAAGATGGTGAAATTTTCAATTTTAAATATTAAATCTCAAAAGCTAAATCCATGCTGGTACTATACGTCGGATACTACGTATTCATTTGATGACTAGCCTTAATCGAAAGTTCTCTCTCATTATCAAGAGGGTTAATTAATTATAAGGACTTGCACCTATAGGAAACCTGAACTCCAATCATAACGTCCTCGTAAAATGAGGAGCGAGGACTAAAATCTCTAGGTAATGTCTCATTCAAAACTCAATCTGCCTTCTGAAAATTTGCCTCGGAACTTACTCGTTAAAACTCTCATCGACGACCCGAAAAAGAGAAAAGGGGTCTGCGGAGAGGCTAGGGCATGAATTTTCGGAGCCCACACTCTTAGCAATTTCATAGGTTGAATTGATCCATTCTATTTTCCATCATATATATATATATATATAAAGAATTTAGTCCTCATTTTTTCTTTTCCTCTTGAGCAATTTGGTCATTTTTTCCTTTCAAAATTACCAAATGTTTCTGATGGGGACATCGATACGAGGTTTCGACGTATCTATCAGAGGCGACACAGGAGATCGATGACCATGATGGAGAATATTTGCTTTTGATGTATTTTATGTATTAGTTATTTTTATTTTCCAGTTTTCCGTTTTTGCCCTTATGGGTAGTTGGTCACTATTGTAGCCTAAGGGGCATTCTTGTCTTTTGTTTTATTTGTCATTATGAGGCCTATATATATGGCCACTCTCTTATGTATTGGAGGAGGAATGTTTAATGA